ACATACATACATACATACATACATATTGAAATACATGGATAGATGAAAAAATAATGAGTTTGATGAAGTTATTTTTTGACATGAACTACAGTGAATGCTTTTAATATTTACATGCAGCTTTACTCTAAATATTCGCAATACATTTGCAATATTTTAAAATAATTTTTCCCCAATTTCTCACTCAGTAATATTGTGAGACATGGAGGTGACGGAGGAGAATCTCGCACGTCTGGTTGAAGTCCTGACACACACCCTCTCTCCAGATCCTACACAAAGGAGGTCAGGTATGTATACTAGATATGGATTCCTTGTGCTCTTCATGCCATGGTTCTTTAGTGAGTGGTTGATGCTATGATATGCATTGATGTATGGATGAGATTGACTAGTGAGTATGCATTATGGGCTTTATTTCTTCTGCTTCTGATTTTGTGACTTCAAAGAATGAGATAGAATGCAAAAATAAGTAAATGCAGACTTAAATATACGATCTCTTTCCCCCAATAAATTGGAATCTTTCCATAAAGTGTACTTGTCCTATAGCTATTGATGCCATTGTTCTATTCTATATAGCAAATAACTACTGAATATGAACAAATGACAGACATTGGCCATAGAGATTATTACCCATTGGTTGGGATCAAAGAATGTAAAAGGCTTGGCACCACTGCTCTAAGGGATATAATTTTTTGTTATTTCTGATTTTCCCAAACTTATTTGTTTACTTTATTTCTTTTTCTTTTTTCTTTTTTGATAATGCAAAGAAAAGAGATAGACTTTGATTTGAATTTACAAGGTACACATTGTTCATGTCACTAAAAGAGAATGGTTTTACATTTCAGCGGAACAGTTCCTGAGCCAGGTTGAGGGCAATGAGAACTACCCTGTGCTACTACTTACCCTCCTTACAAGAGATGAATCACAAGTGCCAGCCAATATCAAACTTGCTGCGAGTATCAACCTCAAAAATTTGGTCAAAAGATATTGGGTTGTGGTGAGTATTATTGCAGGGAGATGGCCATTCTTTAACTTCATGATGATAGGTTTTCAATGTTTAAGGACAGATTTATGTTTCATGTGTTAATATTTACATTACTGTTAAACTTGTGCCCTATATTTTCATAAGTGTTGGGGGGGGTGGGGGGAATATGATAAATAGGTAGATATAAAGTCTTATGCATTCCTGATATACATGTAACTACTTCTCCATATCTTCTCAATTTTCTCCTCCCTTGTGTAGCAAAGCATATTGATAATCTATTTAAGAAAAAGAAATGATATAGAATGTTTTATGGAAGGTTGTAAGTGCAGTAGTTTGGCCAGTAATCAGTATGATATATGTTTGTATATGCTCATGTAAATGATGATTACTGTATGAAAAAAATTATTTTACAATTTTTGTGTTTCACCTTCCCTCTGTCTCCCATAATTCCATCCCCACTATTATTACTTCTCACTGCCTTCCTACTTCACCTAGGACGAAGATGGAACCAATCGCATCAGTGCAAATGACCGCATTGTCATCAAGAGGGAGATTGTGGACCTCATGCTGCGGTCACCGGAAGGGGTCCAGAGGCAGCTGTCAGAGGCCATCTCCATCATTGGCAAGTCAGACTTCCCACACCAGTGGCAAGAGCTGATCCCATACATGGCTGATAAGTTCAAGTCAGGTAAATCTTCCTTTTGCTTTGGCTCAGTATTGGCCGCAGTTTGGAGTTTAGGGCTTTGAGAGAAAGAAAATAGAAAGATAAAAAAAATAGTTGATAATTTGTATATATGTATTGCTATTGGTAGTGATGACAGGGCCTAACTTTTTTGTGATGTAATGTTATGCAACAGTATAGAATTTGTGGCTAGGACTAAGCTTTGTACAGTCAGCCCACCCATTGTGAGTCATGATGGCTATAGCCATACCCATCAATGAGGGGTTAAGACGAATGACCAGGGGGTCCTCATACATGGGAGAGTAAGTCAGAAGAATAAAAGAAATGAAATAAGATTGATTTGGAATCAATATATTTTTAAAGAATTTGTCACACCAATAATGGATCCTGCAACATAAATTTTACAAGTGATTATTCACTTTAGCTGGTATCTTCATTGGTTAAGTAGAGGTATATTTGCATATGAAAAGAGAAGAGTTTGTATCTTTCGTACAATATGTCCAACCATAAATGCACATGCTTCCCATTTGTCAGAGCAGGAGGCAAGAATACTCCCAACATGTCCATAATCCTTCACCCTATTACATTTTCTTACAGAAGTTATCCATATTTTAGTCATTATCTAGTTTGCCATTCTATGGTTGTCTTTACTAGTCTTGCAACCAACTGTTGATTTAAAGATTTATAGATGATGATAAGAAAGGATGGAAGGAAAGACAAAAATACAGGAACTCAATTAATATTTACAATATAAGATCACAAGTGGATGGGGCTTAGGACAGCTATTGCTGACTAGGATTTTCATTGTGAAAGGGAGGTGCTACCTCTAAAAAGTAAACTGACTTGATATAATATTAGGTTTTCAAGTCTGTTGGACTGTATTTCCTCCTCAGTTTCAGTGTGAATTGGATGAATTGTGTATTTGGTTCTGCATGGCATTTTCCTTCCATCCTCAAGACTAGCGAGAGCTATCTCCCTATACCTTGCTTAAACCATCTCCTTTGTCTCTTTGTGGTTTCTCTTCTCATCCACTACTATAACCCTTCCAAGCTATCAGAGGCTACTACACCTACCATCCCAAGCCAAGCCCTTTTCTCTAAGGACTGCCTCTCTTCATATAATTACTTTCTGGTTTGATTGAGTTTGCTTCGGCACTAGTGGTTGGTTTTCACTGTAGGTTTTTGTATGTACATAATTCAGTACTCTATTAGTTATGATGAATGCATATTTTATTTTAGTACAAATGTTTCATTTACACTTTCTTATACATGGAGTAGCATCTTTAACTTTACTGTTTTGTAATTGTTTAACACACCAGCAGTAAGTAGGTGTGTTCGTGTGTGTGTGTTTGTTTGTTTGTTTGTTTTTGTTGTTTTGTCTGTTATTAGTAATTACAGGTATTCAAAATGTCTCAACTCTGTTTTCGTTTGGCCTCTTGCTCCCCCATGTTGGATGGTTCCATTAAGAATAGTATTATTATCTCATAGTACAAATTATAATATCTGATTACTTTTATTTGTATATCAGTAATTGTAGTGATGATAAAAACTGCTGTCATACCTTCTTTTACTTTAACAGGGGACTTCAATGTTATCAATGGAGTGCTGCAGACCTCGTACTCTGTGATGCGACGATACGAGTTTGAACACAAGTCTGAAGAACTGTGGCGAGAAATCTTGTTTGTGTTGAATAACTTTGCCCAGCCACTGACAAATCTTCTTGTGGTATGTTAATTGCACATTCTGTAATTTTTTTCTGGTTCATAGAAGGTGAGGGATTACGGTATCATCAATTGTTTTGTTGAGATGTTTTGTGGGTTTGAGAATAACCAATGTGATAGGAATTCTTTAAGTTCTTTTGCTTAGCACTATACTGTAGATGCTGTACATTGCCGGTGTTTTATATCCCAAACTCATATTTTTGGCACCAAATAATGATTTAATAGGTAACTTGACTTTCTATGGTAGCATTTAGTGAATGGATGCAGTAGTTATTTATATAAATTTGATTTTGCCTAAAGTATGAAACCTTTTTTTTTCTTTCTTTCTTTCTTTCCTTCTTTCTTCTCTCTCTACAAATTATTAAAGAAGATAGTTTAGCTAAAATTTACCTGAAAACCCAAAAGATTTTTTTCTTTTCTTTCTTTCTTTCTTTCTTTCCCCGTAAACCATAATGAAAGAAAATTTAGTAGGTATTAACCTATCCATAAACAGTGACTAAAACTTACCTTAGTCTATTTTACTAGCAAAAATTGCCTTTAGAATAAGTAGTATACAAGTGTAAAATCAGTTCTTTACAGAAGTTGCACGAAGTATGGTAGATATTGCCATGAGTTATGATAGATGTCTTATCATTTAGATTTCATTTTCCACCTTGTTCAGGAATTGATGAAATTCGCTGGGGAGAATGTCAACAATGGAGATGCCCTGAAGGTGATCTTTGCCTCCCTGGTGTCTGTGGGGAAGCTGTTCCTGGCACTCAACTCGCAGGACTTACCCGAGTTCTTTGAGGATAATATGGCTGTGTGGATGGAAAATTTCCTCACCCTCCTCAACTTCTCAAGCCCTCTTCTGATGTCAGATGATGATGAAATTGGTGTGTTGGAGCAGGTGGGTGTGGGATGTTTTTCTTTGGGAAGGAATTTTTTATCTGTTATTTTTATTATTATTATTATTATTATTATTATTATCAATCATTATTATTATTATTATTATTATTATTATTATTATGATTATCAATCATTATTATTATGATTGGATCTGGGTCAGGACCAGCTGAAGGGAATAAGCTGTTATGAAAAAGTTTGACTGAGGGCTGCAGTGACAAGAATGCACTGTCATGAATAATTTGATTCCTGGGTGATGGGAATGACAATGTGAGTGCACCAAACTCTTGGAGAAAGAGTAGACTCAGTGGTCATTTAGGAAGAGGCTCTTGAATTATTTCCATTAGTAAATGATTGTGGAATATGTTATTTGCGCTGGTTCCGATTCCTGCCTGGTCTGACCAGTGGTGCAGTTTGTGTTGTGGAAAATTGAATAATACTGTAAAAAATACCATAAATAACAATGTTGGTAATTATTATTGCAAAGAATTGTAGGCTATCTATAAGGAAAATATGGAGTGTGTGCAATGAAAATAATTTATTACCATCTTGATACAGCATAGCAAATAAAAGATATTAGCCTTCGAAAAGAGGGGGGGAAATGCAGAGAGAGAGAGAGAGAGAAATGACATTGCAATCGGAGGCACAGTCTTGATACTGCACATGAGTGTTCATGTAGGCAATCACATGGGGGAGTTGCTACTCAAAGTAAGCTTAATGCCTGGATATTGTCCACGGACGTGCTGTGAAGTACTAGGATCCAATAGGTGAATAATGATTAATCCAAATATTTTGAGATTAGCATTTGTATGTTATGTAATGAGCATCAGACAAAGAAGCACATTGTTAATCCATTGCCGATGGGTAAAAAATTTTGGCAAGTGGACGTATGGACAGGCTTGTTGGCGCGCATTGGCAGTTTCTCCTGTTTGCGCCTGGCTCGATCGGTAGTTTGCGAACGACATTTAGCACCTAAAAGCTTTTATTTTGCTAAAATTTATAAAAATATTAAACTTTTAAAGGTTTACCTTTATTTTAGGTGCCATTGCCTAAAATCTTTACCATATAAATGAAGCTGCTACTATCGTAGAAAAACAACCTCCGTCCGACGAGCCAGTGGTGCGGGAATGGGCATGACATAATGCCCCCCAGCATTCGGTCCACAACAGCCATGGCATGTACGTACATGCCACCTGGCGGCAGCGGGTGAAGATGTGTACTTGCTGAATTATCTTGGTTTTAACACTCAGAGATCACATCCTGAAAAGGAATGTGATAGTCAAGGAATCTTCCAATATGAAATTGAAATAGGATGAAATTGTTGTAAAAGCTTGCAATCTATTTGTCTATAGTATGAGATTTACTGAAGGAATCAGGGTACAGAGAAGATGGATGTGAACAAAGGAAATATTGGATTGTTAGAATACCACTTTTTAGACATCAGCAAATGAATTGCTTCCTCACAGAGAAACGTTAGAGAACTTCCTATTATTAGAATTCAGCTTACAAGTAATTAGATATTTCCTTTGCTGTAAATAATTCTAACTCTGCCTCATTTAATACAGGTTAAGAGCCAAGTTTGTGAGGATATCACCCTATATGCCTCCAAATATAGAGAGGAATTTGAACCCTTCATTGAAAGATTTGTGACAGCTGTATGGAACCTCTTATCAACAACCACTCTTGCTGTTAAGTTTGATCAGGTAAGAACGTGTCCCTGTTGGCCAAATTCTGGAATGTTAGTATGATTATAAGGGAAATATGACCATTCTACAATATTTTGCATTAAAATACCTGTGTAGAGGCGGTTGTTTTTTAATGGAAACAGATGTGTTTGGGGGGGTGGGGGCCTTCTCGGAAGAGTATTTAATTGGTAATCTAATTTTTCTTTTTTGTTTATGTAGATGGTGAGCCATGCCATCCAGTTCTTGTGTGCTGTTGCTGAGAGGGATCACAGCAAAGGTCTTTTTGAAAATGAGCAAGTTCTGTCAGGGATATGTGAAAAAGTGATTCTCCCAAACATGCATTTGAGACGTAAGTGTAATTTTTACATATAAAGTTGGTTTCTCTATTTTATTTTTTCTGTCAATAATATTGTTTGTTCTGATTTTGAAATAAGAATAAACATGCTTTATTGTATAATGTTCAGAAATGTGAGATTTAAATTTAGTGCAAATCTTTCTGAACTTCAGCTTGTGATGAGGAATTGTTTGAGGATAGTCCCGACCAGTGGGTGTCCCAGGAATTGGAAGGAGCCGATTCAGAGACTCGCAGGAGAGCTGCTGTTGACTTTGTCAGAGTGCTGTCAAGACACTTTGAAGCTAGAATGACACAGGTGTTTGGGCAGTATGTCCAGGTGAGAACAGTTAACAGTATTATTTTCCTGCCTTTCCTCAGATTTAGGTATTTATTAACCCTTTGTATGTGGGTATATGGACTGTCCATTGTGAGTTTTGTTGCTCACAGATGGCACCAACAGAGTCAATTAGTAAGCCAAAGTAACCCAACCTGATTTCCCCATTTCTTGAATTTTGGGAATTTATTTTTCTAATGCTAGTAAATTTGGTACTGTTATTATTTTTGACATTATGATTATTGGATTGTTATTGAAATACAAATGGCAATTGGGGAGAGAAAAGTCTTTCCAAAAATCAAGGAAAAAGTAAAGAAGTGAGATAGGACTAAGCAATTGACTCCTTGGTGACTAATTACCTGTGGAACCATGTATTTGTAAATCTCTAATTTGAACTCACCATGGATAAGGCATGTACAGTATGTCATATCATTTCATTACAGAGGGTTAATATTATAATTCTGCTATTGTACAGTTTTTGAGGGTGATAGAAGGATGGAGATTTGAGGATGTTCAATACTTAGGTAATTTTGAAAAAAAAATGATATAGTCAGACACTTTCATAGTTAGAATATTTTAGATGAAACAATTACCTATCTTTACAGTCAATGTTAGCCACATATGGAGAGAAACCAAATGAGTGTTGGAGAAATAAAGTAGCAGCCATTTACCTTGTGACAACACTTTCGGCCAAGGGACATACTGCTCGCCATGGAGCCACTCAGATTAATGAGTTGGTTAACATCACAGAATTCTACCAAAATCACATCCTTCCAGAGTTACAGAATCAAGATGGTAAGTTACTTTTTATGTTTTGTCTTCTCTTTAAAGATAATATCTAAAAGTATAGATTACCAAAAATAAAATAGTATTTTTATTTAAGTAAAGACGTGGACTGAAATACTTTAACAGTCACTCTTACGCTATTTTTTGCCTTTCCAGTCAACCGCTTGCCAGTGCTGAAAGCTGAGGCCATCAAATATGTCATCAGCTTCCGCAGTGCTCTTCCTTTTGATGCTGTCAAACTGTGCATCCCAGATCTTGCCCGTCTCATAACTGCCCAGTCACCTGTTGTGCACACCTATGCAGCAGCAGCCATTGACAAGGTCTTCCTTCTCAAACTGAACAATCAGCCCATGGTACAAAAGAATGATGTTTCACCATCAGCAGCAGTGCTTTACGCAAACCTCCTTGGAGCATTGACTATACAGGGTTCAGAACAGAATGAGTATGTAATGAAAGCCATGATGAGAGTGACAAGCATCATTGAAGGAGATTTGATGCAACATGCTGGTCTTGTTGTACCTCAGCTTGTTGTCAAGTTACAGCAAGTTGCAAAGAATCCCACAAAACCACATTACGTCCATTATTTATTTGAAACTCTGTCTCTGGTCATCAAAACTGTCTGTAATTCTGTGGATGGTGCTGTAGGAGAGTTTGACAGGAATCTCTTCCCAGTCTTCCAGGAAATCTTGCAGAATGAGATTGATAGCCTTATCCCATATATATTTCAGATCATCTCTCTCTTACTGGAAAGACAAAAAGCTGAAGTTCCAGAGGCTTACCTATCATTGTTGCCTTTCTTAGTAATGCCAGTGTTATGGGAGAGACCAGGCTATGTGGTGCCCATGGTGAGGCTGTTACAAGCATACATTGAAAAGGCTCATGGCCAAATAGTGCAGATGGGCAAGCTGGAAGCTGTTCTTGGTGTATTCAACAAGCTTAATGCATCCAAGACAAATGACCATGAAGGGTTCTATCTTGTCCAGTGTATGCTCTTGCATATGCCCAAGGAAGTCCTTGACAGTTATTGGAATCAGATCTTTGCCATTATGTTTAGGCGCTTGACTTCAAGCAAAACCACAAAGTATGTAAAATCTCTCTTGGTATTCTTTAGCTTGTTTGCTTGTCAGCATTCAGGAGCACGCCTCATACAGATTATCGATAGCCTCCAGGCAGGAATGTTTAGCATGGTTGTTGAAAGATTGATTGTGCCTGACCTGCAGAAGGTCTCTGGTGAAATAGAGCGTAAGATATGTGCAGTTGGTCTCAGTGGATTGCTGGCAGATCCTACTTTGTACAATGGTAGTTATGCAGCACTTTGGGCCCCATTACTAGAGGCAGTTGTGAAATTATTTGAGTGTCCTGAAGATAGTTCTTTGCCTAATGGGGAACATTTCATTGAAATTGAAGACATTCCAGCTTTCCAAGGTTCATCAGCCAGATTAATGCATGCAGCCAGAAGTGATATAGACCCCCTAAAGGGACAAGTAGAAAACCCTCCAGTTTTCTTAGCACAACAGCTCTCTCAGTTATCGCAAACTCACCCTGGCACTCTCCAAGGGCGCCTTGCACAGATGAACACCGAGGTACAGGCGCACATCATGAAGTATTTACAGATGGCAGGATGCAGTCTGGCATAAAAAAGTTGGAAGCATTTGTATTCTGTGATTTTTTTCCAATTGATTTTATACATTAAGCATGGCAACAATAAGCTGTTTAGTTGCTTGGGTACATTTACAAGGTGATACATTTCTTCCTTCCCAGATTTACAAACACTGCTTTGCCTGCTATTTAAAATAGTATGTATGTTGCCTTATGTTGAACCTGTCCCCATTATTACTTTGATGGTGATGTCCTGAGAGACCAGTGATATTTAAAAGGAAGCAAAAGAAATATACCAATGAAACTATAATCACAATTGGTTTTTATTGTTATTATTCAGGATCTGACTGTATATTTCATCTCTGTGATCCTTTTGTGACTTCATAACACCAGTACAATCTTTTGTATTCTTCAATTCTTTTCTTTCCTTTATTTTAATTTCAGATCATCTTTTTGTCAGACTATAAGTTCCCACAATGTGGGCTTCCCTTTAGGTTTTACTTTCTTATTTCTACTTTTTTTTTTCATAGTCATGCCTTTGGAGCATTTATTATAGTAAACTGTAATAAAATACTTTTTCTTTTATTACCTTTCATGTAGACTTAAAAAGCTTAAATATTTGTAAATGGTCTTGTTCCTATAACAAACATTGTGTATTTCTGAGTAACCACGTAAAGAAAAAAGATGTATATAAACTCGGGTAAAATACTGTAACAGGAGAATGGTTGATGTTCAGTGTTTGAAATAATGTGCTAGACATTAAAGGTCATATAGCACTATGGTAAAGTATTGCGTCATGTAGGGTAAAGACAAGATCAAGATTAGGATAAAATGTGTTAGATGTCATGGACTAGAGCATTATAGGATAATATGGATGTGACAAATGAAGTAGAGCTGAGATTAGTAGAAAGGAGAGGGTTAAGAGATATGTATCACTGGGGAAGGTAGACATCAAAGCTCATTTAGCACTAAAGAAAGGTGTGAAAAGGGTAAAGAGGTTGGTTGATGAAAAAATATACACGCTAAAAAGTTGTATACCTCCCCAACCCCTTGTTCTTTGTCGTGGGTGAGGGGAGGAAAAGGAAGCAAGGTAGGGGATTGCCCCTACCTTAGATTAACACTTACCTCAACTAATTTTGCATGGTCTTCTCCCCCCTTTCCCTTTCCTTCTCTCCTTCATTCCCTTCTGTCCAAATCCTAAGGTGTGAGAGCTGTGCTGAAATAATGAAAGGCTAGCTTTGTCTGTCCTTAATGGCCTTTATACTATGATTGCTCTTGTTTTTACTCTTTTCACAATACCATATTAACCTAGTGTTCTACATCTCTTGACATCTAAACATGTATTGTCCTAATCATTAACTCAATTTTACCCTTTTTGTCACAATACTTTTATCATAGTGCTGTATGACCTTTGATGTATGGTGCATTTATTTGTTCTGACCATTAACCATGCTGGGGATCCACAAACATTGCCTTATGAATAAAAAAAAAAAAAAACTTTCTTATCCAGGGACTTTGCCTCCAAGCCTCACCCTATCGCTATATTTTGTATACACCGCTAATGACCTTAGATGTTGATGTGGCAGAATATTTTCAATTGTCTTGTAGCAGTTCAGGATACTTATGGCATTGGAAGGGGCAAAGAGGAGTGAGACTAGAATGGGTGATGAAATGGGCGAAGGTTGAGAAAAGTTGTCAAATCATGGTTTCTGGGGAAAAATTGGGAGTGAAGATTCAGGGAAGGTGGTTGTGACAGTCACATGTCTATCTAAGGTATGGTGGAAGTGATAATGGGGAAGGAAGAGAGGAAGATATAGATGAATGGTAAATGGCTAATGGTTGAATCAAACAAATGTGCTAGACATCTAAGGTCATATAGCACTATGGTAATGTATTGTCATGAAAAGGGTAAATGAATCAACGATTAGTATAAAGTGTTAAATGTCAAAGATTATAGTGTTATAGGATGGCATAATAAGGAATAGGTTGAAGAGGGGGTGCAAATAAAGTAAATCAGGGTGAGAAGGATAGAGGGGGGATATCAGATTTTGGTGGATCAGGGAAAACAGGAGCAAATACGGGGGGTAAGATATAAGCCATGGAAGAATGGAAAGGTCGGAGGTGAGGAGAGTAGGGTATCCATGGAGAAAGGAGTAGGTAAACATGGAGAAGAGGTAAAGGTAGGAAACAAGGATTGTGGGATAGTTTGGTACGGGAAAGATGGAATCGAGCATAGCATCAGAAAAAGAGAGGGGCTTGACATCGAGAGCAGGATGGCATGCCAGACTCAGTATACAAGCTTTCAACTGGAGAGGAGTGGAAGGCACCTAGGGCTAAGTGGAGACCGCAGTGGTTGACTATCGACGTGAGCAAGAAGGGAGGTAAAGGCAGAGTAGATGTGGCATCCATAATCTAGAGTGGAGACTATCAAGGTAACATGAAGATGGATGAGTTTTGCAATCTAATGCTGTGTTCAGAACTCCTTGTCTTGCTCATCGACTTGTCCAGGACCAGTGGGCCACATTTGGAACCTCCAAGACCCTTTCTGCCCAGAATGCAACCGGCTCAAATGTAAACATTCACTTTATTTATTTTACACGCTGCATAGGTTTTGTAACTCCTTTGATGCATATTTAACTTACCTGCAACTGACAAACACAAAAATATCATTTGATAACACCAATAAAAGGCAATAAAATTACCCATTAATATCTTGTGGTTGATATAGAAGATGGAATGAAACGTTTAGTTTATGCGATGAGGATGAGGGGTAGGTACCGGGGATGTAGAAATTAGAGTATTTGGAAGTGATGGAGATTGGGGTGTTTAGAAAGGAACGAGATAAGGGAGACCCCCCAGTCCTGTAGCATTGTACTGATACTACACCTTACCTGGGAGGCAAAGCCCCCAGGTAAGGAAAGGCTATACAGCACTATGATAAAATATTGTGGCAAAAAGAGTAAAAAATGAGTTAATGGCTAGGACAAAATGTTTGATGTCAAAGGTTAGTTAGTATAGTAGTGAAAAGGTTACAGAGGGAAGAGCAAACAGATTATGCAGGACATTCAGGACTGACAAAGCCAGCTTTTCATCCATTCAGCACAGCTCTCACTTTAGGATGTGGACAGAAGAAGAGGAGAAGACCATGCAAAATGTGTTGAGATGTGGGCTGAGGTCCAAGGAGTCTCCATCTCTTATATTATAAACATTAAAACACAATTTATAAAAATGCATTTTATTTCATATCAACAAAGGTTTCATGTCAATAAAAGCTATAAAATTGTTACCTTTATCAGAATCAGCACTTACAGTCATTGTAGCTATGTTTTCAAGTCAATCAAAAATATAAGCTGCCCTACTTCCATTTTGTTGTCTACATTGCAATTTCAAGTTAAGCAATATGAATAAATGATTCTACAAACAATTCATTGACATTTCCACATTATTTAGTTCTTGTTATAGATAAACACAAAAGAACACCAGCAACACAAAACCAAAAATCTAAATTCATATATATTAAGAAATAAATTAAATGATCTATTTAGAGTGAAAACTAAGAAAAGAACACAATCAAGCAGTTGTTTACAGTAGCACAATATTTATATAATTGTACAATCTTTAAGAAGAGTATTACAAACACTTAAAAATACAACACATGAAGCAGAACTCATATAGAAACTTTGTTTTTGGATTCAGAACAAAAATAATTTCACCAAAGACACTAAAAACCACATTTTCCTATTTGTTTGTGATCAATAAAATGTATTTTAAAAAAGATCTTAAATTTTTTGTCCATTTTTCTGGCTATGGAATGAAATTAACTCAGCCCAAAGTGAGAGCTATAAAGTAACTGCAATAGTGTTCCAGTAGTTTACAAGAACTCCTCACACCAGTCAGATAAGCACTGGTGGCAATCTCCAGACTGCTTGGCATTGGCACCGGCAGTGTCCTTTAACCAGTCGATGAACAAGTCGCGGTTCTTCTTCAAGACTAGGAACTGACCAAGAACTACATAGGCCTGAAAAAGTTGATATAGACATGATGACTCATGAGTGGTGGTGATAACATTACATTTAAACTTATACTATATTTGGAGAGAGAGAAAGAAAAGAAGAGAAGAGAAAAACAGAAAAAAGCAAGATAGAGGAAATGAAAAGGAATGGGAGATAGAAGCAAAAGGAAGAAAAGGATAAAATATGAGAATGAAAAGAAAAGCAGGGGGGAGGGAGGGAGAGGGAGAGGGAGAGGGAGAGGGAGAGAG